TGGAATAGAAATCTAGTTGTGATATATTTTTTCCCCCACCTTCTTCCCTCCCCTCCCCTTCCTCGTGTCTCCCTCTCCCCCCCCTTTTTTTTCCTTCTTTTTATCGTCTTTTCCCTCCTTCAGGTCGTTCGTTCTTCGTCTCTCTCGCGCTGATGTGGCTGAGATTGCGATAAAGTATTGGGAAAAGAATCCTTTTGATAAAAGCTGTTCCGACAAGTTTGGACTGTGTGGGTTAAGGCGAGATTCTGAAAGTTTTTTCTTGTGTTTATTAGGATTTTTATGTCTGTCTCTGTCTCTCTCTCTCTCTCTCTCTCTCTCTCTCTCTCTCTCTCTCTCTCTCTCTCTCTCTCTCTCTCTCTCTCTCTCTCTCCATTCAATTATTGTCTCGAAATTCGTACTCCCCGACAGTTAAGTCATCTTCAGTCACCCCCCCCCCTCCACTCAAAGCCTCACTCACCTACCTCGCAATAAAAGAAAGTAAAAGAAAAGACAACAAACACTCAACAAGTTGTCTCCAATGGGTAGGGAAGCAACGCCATCTGTTGGTGGGACGGGAACACTCTCGAGATAGGGGAACGGTCCGTGATTGTCATGTGTCGTTTAGTGTTGATGGCGACGTGTGGCAGTAATTTCATTGCGGCGTGGAGTGAGTGAGAGAGGGAGGGAGAAGGGAGGGGGGAGGGATAGGAGGGCGAGGGTGAGGAAGAGAGCAGGGGGGGGGGGAGTGAGTAAAAGGGTGGAGTGTTAGGGAGGAGATGCGAGGGAGGGGGGAGGGGATGGGTGGGTAAGTAAGAGGGGAGGGGGGAGGGGGGGTATACAGTGAGGGGGATAAGGGAATGAGAAAGGGGAAGGGGCAGAGAGCAAGAGCGTCGGGGAATGACAGAAAGAGGAAACGAACCGTGATAATGACAGCCTGTCCGAACACATACGACACTGATGTTTAGATTTGCCTTTCGTGAATTACTTTTTGATTGAGTTTGATATTTTTCCCCGAATAATTTCCGATCCGGTGGTTGACCCTTTTTTCTGTCTCTTCGCAGACCAAGAAGCACCCTCCGAACCACATCAAGCGCCCGATGAACGCCTTCATGGTGTGGTCGCAGATGGAGCGCCGCGAGATCGTCAAGTTTGCCCCCGACATGCACAACGCCGAGATCTCGAAGCAGCTGGGGCGCCGCTGGAAGCTGCTGTCGGAGGAGCAGCGCCGCCCGTACCGCGAGGAGGCCGAGCGGCTGAAGGAGCTGCACCTCCGCGAGTACCCCGACTACAAGTACCGTCCGCGCAAGAAGGGGCAGAAGGGGCAGCTGAGGGGCGTTTCGGACAAGAACGGCGGCAAGGTGACCAAAGCCAAGGAGAGCCACGGCGGCGGCGGCGGCGGCCGGGAGAAGGCCAAGAGCGTGGTCAACGTGATCAGCAACACGCGCATCACCCACACGCAGGGCCTCGAGGTCGACCACAACAAGCTGGGAATCAAGATCACAATCGACGACGACTTCAAGCGGTCGCACATGATGCCCCAGAACGGTGCCATGGCCCTCACGCCGCAGTCCCCTCCCGAAGTGCCCGCCAGCCCGCCCTGTGACCTGCCAGACTCGCCCGAGAGTGCCTCCATGTACGACGACCAGCAGGCCTTCAGCTACAACCCCGCCCACACCGCCCATTACCACTCCGGCACCAGTTCCACCGCCTCGTCGCCCTCCACTCTCACCAGTAGTCGAACCACCCTCACGCTCAGCAGCGCCACGTCCATCCACAACATCATGTCGAGCATCAACACCGCCAGCATGATCAAGCAGGAGCCCGAGGACCCTCTGTACGAGGCCGTGTACACGCCCCAGAGCCTGGCCTCGCCCGGCCTGGCCTCGCCCCTGTGCGAGACCCCCACCACGCCCCACATCAAGACGGAGCTCAAGCAGGAGACCCCCAGTCCGAGCGCCTCGCTGGCGGTGGACCACGCGAGTCTCGACGACCTGTACAACATCACGGACTTCATCTCCGTCACCGACATCAAGATGGACTTGGCTGACATCGACTTCGACGCCGTCAGCACGAGTTCGGGGTCCCACTTCGACTTCTCGAGTGTGGCCGACGAGACGGACCACCTGCTGTCCGACTGCGGCATCTCCCACACCTGGATCGGCTCCGGCGCCTTCTTGCAGTAGGCAGGAAACCCCGGGGCCGCTTGATCCAAGGGCGCGTCCTTTTTTCTCCTCCCCTCTTTCGTGTAGACAACGAAAGACAGAGACTTTTTAAGATATAACACTTCTGTCCAGCATAGACTTAACAGTACTCTAGTGAAGTCATTAGTATTGTACACGAGAGATCTGTTGGACGGGGACCAACTGTCCTACCCAGCTTACAAAGCCTCCATAACGGTGCCAGTGCCTTCAACCATTGTTTCCTATGACCTTTTTAACAAAAAATAATGAAACAGTACACAGAACAGACGAACCAAAAAACAATAATAACAAACCAGTTAAACCGCAACTTACCGCAGTCT